TGTTCAACAAGTTGACCAAGTGGTTCAGAAAAAAGGTTTACCATAAGTGAGTTGTGTGTGGAATTTCCTGAAGTTTCAAGATTATCTGTTTACAGATCATAACAGATCACCTACACTACAAAATACTGTGTGCTTGATGGGTTCCAAAAATTATGTCTGATGACCACAAAAGTTGCCGAATGGCAACATCACTGATGTTCCTCACCCATTATGAGGCTGAAGGTGATGATTTTTTGATATCAATTGTAACTGGAGATGAGACTTGGATTCAGTATGTCACTCCTGAAACAAAACAAAAGTCACAACAATGGATGCACTCGAACTTGCCAAACAAACCGAAAAAGTTCAAACAAACCTTTAACAACAGGAAGGTTAGGGTTACTGTGTTGCTTGTTGAGTTTATGGAACCAGGGACTATGATTAATGCAACTGTTTATTCAAGACTTTACAATGACTTTGGAGAGTCATTCAGAACAAAAGAGGAGGCATGTTGACTTCTGGAGTTATTCTGATTCATGACAATGCCCAACCTCACAGTGCTGCTGTAATCTAACAGCTTCTTCAGCAAGTTCAATGGGAACTTTTTGAGCATCTGATGTACAGCCCGATTTAGCGCCAAGTGACTTCCACATCTTCCCTGAACTGAAAAAGTGGTTGGGAAGGCAGAGGTTTGAGACTATTGATGATCTTCAAAATAATGTTAAGGCCATCTCACGTCACTGGCAGCAACATTCTATGAAGAGGGGATTGCAAAGCTCATCCACAGATATGACAAATGCCTCAATCTTTATGGTGATTATGTTGAAAAGTAACCATGTTCGTACCTAACTTTTGGTAATAAATTCATTTTGTTATTTACACTTGTCTTTGTTGTATGGACCATTGGAGGTTGAAACAAAAACTGCCCTCGTAGGTACAAAACTATTTTCAAATTTTTTTTTCTCGCATTTTATAATTTTACAATTTAAACTCATTCAATTTTGCATTCATTATTGTAGTATCTTAATAATTTTATATATAAAATAAAAAAAAAAACATTATCATTTTTCATACAGATTAAACAATTCAGTTGTTTAAAATAGAATAATTATGCAATTAAAAACAGGACATTT